TCGCTGTCAAAACTATTAAATAAAATTGGTTTTCATTACCAAAAATCAAACAATCGCTAGATCCTTATGGAAAGGAACGACATAGCACTCAAAAGATTTGATTTTTTTAAAAAAGCTAAAAATATTTCTGATTGGGTTAAGGTTGTGTTTTTAGACGAAACGTGGTTGAATGCCAATCACACTGTGAAAAAAACATCCACAAATGTACCAGAAGGAAAGGCAGAGAAGCTAATAATTTACCACGCAAGTACTGCCAAAGGTTTTACTGGCATTTATACCCAAAAAAACTAATGAATACCACGAAAAGATGAACTTCGCATATATTTCAGAATGGTTCTATAAAATGATGGACAACCTGGACGGTCCTCATATAACAATGATTCCACGCAGTTTGACGGCAAACAAAAAAGCCGATATAATAGAGTGACTCATAAAGAAGGGCGTAAATGCCGATATGACAATGCTGAAGTGCGAACTGCTTGGGCTGGTGACCACACACAAACCAAGGGAGCCAGTGTATTTGCTGGTTCGTCCAAAGCAACGTGGTCACACCCGTCACACACATCAGATTGCCACCCTATGACTGTCAATATAATGCCATGAAACTTATATGGGCACAAATCAAAGGTTAGTGAAAATACGTAAAAATTTCTTTTTTTCCTGATAAATATTATAACATATTTGCATTAAATAAATTTTCTTTTTTTTTTCATAAACACTATAATATATATTGCATTAAATAGTATTACTTTATTCATCACTTATTTCGTTCACAGGTCATGCAGCACGCAACAACACATCTCCCTTCACCGCAAACAAAATGCTCCATTTGTTGAAAGAAGCTTGTGGTGACCGCTGAAAACTGGGCGAAAATTGTTCGACATGTGAAAGAAGAAGTTTTGTCTGACTGTACGCGAGATGTGCACTTCAACAATTTCGTTGAAAACGAATTAATAATTCAAGTTGGAGATGATGACACAAGTTCCGATGACGCCTCCGATGATGAAAATCTTGATTGAGCTTCTCTTCACGATTAAAAACTATGTTTTAAAGAGAAAATTTTATTTTATTTTTAAACCTTGATTTTAACTCAGTATTAGTTTAGTGCAATAAAATTGATTGATGAATGAATGAATTTATTTTGAATAGTTTAAAAGATACATACAGTCTAAGGAGTGTAGAGTAGAAGGAGGACCATCTCTGTATATGAAAAGTGTCCCTAAAAACGCGTCCATAAAGGGTGGCGCTGCAGTAGCATAGGATAAATTAAAAAAAAGCGCCAAAATTTATTAGAATAAGATGGAGAAATAAACAAGGACCGACCAATCCGCTTGGTTTTGTACTACGTAAATAGTTGAGTAGAGATGAGACATACTTGCAAAATTTAATATCAGGGCTTCTAAGTACGAGTATGGAAAAATACCAGGGTCGAAAACCAGGTTTTAAAAATACTTGAAAGTATTTGTTAATGTCAGTACCTATATAATATATGAACGCCTAATTTGATTCGGGCAAAAATTTATACTGAACGTTTTTAAATTTTTTTTGGTAACGAAATGAAATCTTTCCTTCCTACTTTTCGGTTTAGGACTCTTAATAAATAAAAGTTTTAAAACTGTCTCTAAATTCAATATACACGCGAAATAACTATTTAAATATTAGGTCACAGTCAGTAGGTTACGTAATCAGTTCACAATAACAATTTAATTTACAAGAAATCGAAACAAAACTTTTACTTCCTCGAATAGAAACATAATTCTTATTACTTACGCGACCTGTCCAGCCGCGGTGTCAGTTTGAAAATACTTGCAAAGAGTATAGTAATATAAAAGGGAGAATACTTGCATAGGAATTCGACCCGCTTTCCATGTTAGGCTATTATGACTAAGGAGCAAAGTTGTATAAATAAAAAAAAATACTTTGAAGTTCAAAGTATTTTTCATTCACAAATACGATTGAGTTTCTTATTAATATTGAGATATGGATCATTTTCCTATGCAAGTGTTCTCATACTTGCAAGTATTTTTTGGTCGTAAAAGGGCGCCGTACTTTACAGTTTACGTACTTTAAAGTTAAAACCTGGTAGCGTAAATACGTCTCTGCGACGTGAGGGACGTGTCCAGCCGTGGTGTAAAAATTTGAAAATACTTGCATAGGAATTTCACCCGTATTCCATGTTATCCTACTATGAATAAGGTGCAAAGTCGTATAAATAAAAAAATACTTTGAAGTTCTAAGTATTTTTCGTTCACAAATACGATTGAGTTCCTTACTACTATTGAGATATGGATAATTTTCCTATGCAAGTATTTTCATACTTGCAAGTATTTTTTGCTCGTACCAGGGCGCCGTACTTTGAAGAGAATACCTGGTTTTAAAACCTGGTAGCGTAAATACGTCTCATCTTTATAGTTGAGGTTTTGTATACTGGCATTTTACTAACTACTCTAGTCATGAAATTTTTTAAATATTTTAATTCAGCTGACTTCACTCCGTCTACAACAGCTATATTCATATCGTAGTTTTTCAGACGCCATCGCTATTGTGGTAGGTTTTGGAACCTCTATTTTCAGTATATATTGGGACACTTTTTCAACTTTCGCACCTTATAAGATGGTTCTCCTTCTACTCTACACTCCATAATACAGTCACACCATCACATCACAGTTACAAGTACCTATATAAAAGCATTATTTTTGCAATACTACATATACAAGATATTTTCTGTTTCCCATCACCTAGACCCATCTGTCAAAAAGATCAAGCTATGTTGTATAGTCAAGAAATTCGGATTTCGGAGTTATTTAATTTAAATGAAAGAATGATTCCGAGTTTGATACTCGTTTCTCAATGTGTTGTTCATAAAGCAACACGGGCCGTCGACGTTTACTCTATAGTGTTATATCAGCAATTTTAAAATTAAAGCAAGGTGTTAAAGATGAAGGAGGTTGTGTTAATTTTAATCCTTTGAAAAGAATGTTAAAATATAATTCTAAATCACAAAAAATACAATTTATTGCGATGATGATGAATGAAAAAAAATTTTAAGGTGGAAGTGCCAGGGCAGCTCGTGAATTTCAAATTTTCTTGCTTTTTTTGCAATTTGCAGGTGATTTTAATGATAATAATTCTATAATCACTTACTCGTTACGGTCGCGAATCATATTTTATTAAACATCCAACCTGACCCTGACCTGCAAATTCCAAAAAACGCAAGAAATTTTGAAGGTCAAGGTCACCCTTAACAAATCACTACGAAACTAATGAATGGGCTAACAAAAAAAGGTCACAGTCTCTACAGCGCTAATTTTTACACAAGCGTACCACTAGCAGAAACTCTAATGGACAAGCAGACTTTATTGTGTGGCACAGTTCTACAGAACCACAAGCATCTACCAAAGCAAGTGGTAAAGTCCAAGCAGAGAACCCTTTCTCAAGTGTTGGCTCTGAAGAATAGGATGGGTGTCAAATTTTTTTTTATATGTTAGGGTGACAAACGAGCACACAGTCCACCTGATGGTAAGTGGTTGCTGCGGTCCATAGACATCTACATTTATCCTCAATAAAGAATGAAAATGCAGATGCATCGTCACAGTGAGGACTAAGATGGAATGCCTCTTTTCCAGTAAAATGGGTCTCCGGTTCTCTACACTCACCATAGCAGAGTCAAGCTGCTATTTTACGCGGGTATTCTGTGACAGTGTGGTCCTTCTCTGGTCGAGCCGACCCATTTGTGCTACAACTATATTATATAGCTGCAGCATGGCTCTACCATGTATAAAAATATATAAATTGGACCGACAAACGTACAAATCAAATGCTTTCGACCTGCAATAATCATACAGAAGCTCTAGTGCCAAGGCCACATCGCTGGAGGCCAAACACTGTCGTAGCGAAACTAGACTGTTTTGAATTATAATAATGCGAAAAAGGGGGTAGATATTTCTGATCAGATGGGGTCGTACTATACCAACCTTAGAAAAACCCTAAAATGGTACCGCAAGCAAATCATTGTGATTGTCTGTGGCACAATGTTGGTAAATGTTTAGTTTAGTTACCAAAATTTTGGAGCAAAAAAAAAACTAAGTATTTTAGAAATTTGGGAACTAATTATAAAAGAGATGATTAGCAGGCCCAGCACTGATAATCAACCAGATGACGCTGCAGAGGAGGGTGGGGCCCCATGGACAAAAAAAGCCAAAACACAAGTTAGAGAAAACGGAAGGAAAGCTCAGAGTGACTCAGAGATACTCGAAAGAGATGCAGACCTTGTTACGACCATTTTACAACAACCGAATCTGCGCGTATGGCTAGAAAAAAATCGAAACTCGTAAATACATTTTGCTCTGCGTTTGAAAAACCAATGTGTTTGAATTGTTTCAATATGAATCTTACAAAATAATTTTCATTTTATACTTTCCATGATAGCATTTCATCTTATATTTTTTTCAATTATGATTTTATTTTCTTATTACATTTTCTCAACGTAATTTATCATAAATAATTTGCATTTTGTACAATTTATGTCGTTATTATGTCATTTTTTTTCTAATAAATACAATTTTTCAATATTGATTTTTGCTTAGTTTTCGAAATAATATCCAGCTTCTGAGCTGCTCTGTGAAAATTTGTCAATTTTTACTAGGCGGAGACGGTAAATACAACACTTTCTTTCAAAGCGGCGCGAATTTCTTAGTATATTGAAAGTATAATGTGACGTGGCCAGCGGTGGTACACCTCGCCGTGTCAGCAAATACTCCGTGCTCCACCGGTGGTACACGCCGGTCTGAACGTGTTCAGCAAATCAGATTTTTATTGGTATATTTGTCCTACATAAGTCGGTATATTTTAGTATTTTGAAGTACCTCGGTATTTTCGTAAAATCTTATCTGGTCATACTGCCCAAATGCCCATCACTATTATAACCTCACTTTATCACAAATACACAGAATATTTGTATAAAATTTTGTGAACACTTTCCCTAGAAGTTAAAAGTAAAAATGAAATTATCACAAATTTTAAATAGACAACACATAGATTTTATGTTCAAGAAACATTGGGCAGTACAAGGTAAACGATTTCCTATCGACACCGGTCTGGAACATTTACTTAAAGAAAAAGGTATTCCCGTCGAAGATGCACTTGAGTTTGTGAAGGTTCATGAGAGGAAACCATTATCAAAGGAGAGGTATGTGGTAATTTTTATGATTGTTTTTGTGGTAAGAATTGTTTATCAGTAAAAAATTCCCATTGAATTTGAATAATGACTCAAGAGGTACACCACTTGAGTTTATGTATGTATATATTAACTTTTATAATTTTGAAGTATGATTAGAAAAAAAATGTCTTATACTAACATAAAATAACTTAATTTCAGAATCAATATTGTAGGTGCATATGAAACTCCACTGCCACTGGATGAAAATAATCCAGACTACAAAAGTAGACCTTGTCTGACACTTACAAATACAAATGTGTTACTGGAAGGTATTTCACAAGCGCAGGTTTTAACAAAAACTGTGATAGCTGAAGACAAACTACCAAACAAAATTGAAGAACTGGCTGAAATTTCCATTCCAAAATTGGTTCATGAGGGTGTGAAGAAAGCTATTCTATCAGCTAATGTGTTTGATTGTGAACAAAAGAAATTGCCTAAAGTCAAAGACCCTGCTAGACCAGCATACAACTTTCCTAGGATTTTAGGCATATCAGATAGGAGACGCAAGTAAGTAAATTAAAACTTTCAGTTTTATATACCTATAATAGATATGTACTATTCCTTAAAAAAAATCTAAAGGATTAAATCAACTATTCATCAATAGTCTATAACAGTTCACTGCTGGGTATTGCATTGTGTGATGGATCATCCACTTTCATATGGTCAAGTCTTTAATGTAGTGGCTGTCACATACATCATACTTGTAAACATATGAACATTGAAAGGGGGGTCTGCTGATTTTTTTTTTACATGATAGGGTGACAAACGAGCACACAGTCACCCGATGGTAAGTGGTTGCTGTGACCCATAGACATCTATATTTATTCTCAATAAAGAATCAAAATGCAGATGCATCGTCACCCATAAGGACTTAGATGGAATGCCTCTTTTCCAGTAAAATGGGTATCCAGTTCTCTACACTCACCATACGAAACACAGCAGTGTCAAGCTGCCATTTTAGACTGGTATTCTGTGAGTGTGGTCCTTCCCCGGTCGAGCTAACTCATTTGTGCAACAACTATACTACTAATATAGCTGCAGCTGGGCTCTACCACATATAATCAGATTTGCTTTACATTGACAAATTCCAAGTTTTAACATCCCTTGTTTTTTTTTTATAAATTAACATACTTCAGTTGCCCAAAAAAATGAGGATACTTGTGGAATTTTTTTGACGTTCCTTCTCCAGTCATAAGAACCCCATTTTAAATGACTTCAAAATGAAGGAGGTTCTCAATTTCTATGTTTATTTTTATGTATGTTCAGACATAACTCCATCCTATATAGACTGATTTCCAAAATTCTTGTTTTTTTTGTTATAAAGAGGTTTATTCCACAATGGTCCCATTTAAATTTCGTAAAGATTTGATGATGAGTTTTGGAGACAACAAAACTCTTTAATAAATGCTAGTGAATCAACTGCAATTGCTCCTATCACATATTTATGCATTGGTTACACAATCACACAACATAACATCACACCCTGTACCCTCTAAATCACACCCTGTACCCTCTAAAAGGGTAAGCATATGTGTTCAGTGTACCACAGTACACCCTCATTTCTGTCGAATTTGTTATATTGAATATTGAAGTTGGTTGTATAATTTTTTTATTTTAACACTTCTGAAACATTGCATTTGGAAAGAATTATGTTGGATAAATTAAATTTTTATTTCTTATATTTATTATCATTACAGCCCTTCACAAGTCCACTGCGACAATGTAGATATTTTTTAAAGTTTATTTCCTAGTTTTAAAATAGGGTATAATATGATGAGTTGGGGCATTATCAAGAAGCAATAATGTTTTCTCTCTTTTACCATTTTTTAATTGATGGGTTTTTACAGAGGATATAAAAGTTTCTGTAAACCATTTCATGAAAATTGTACTATCCATCCAAGCATTTTTTTGCGAAGTGTAAACGATAGGCATCGCAGACATATTAACGTGTTTGAAGCAACGTGGTTTCTTGCTTTTACCAATTACAAGTATGGGCAATCGGTGGCTGCCAGTAGCATTAGCACATGCTAAGGCAGTAATACGGTCCTTGCTTATTTTAGGACCAGGTGCTGCTAATTCACGACATGAAGCAAGAGTTTTTCATGGCAAAGCTTTCCAATTGAGCCCGGTTTCATCTGCATTATAAACGTTTTCGAGAGCGTAGTTTTGTTCCTTCAGCATATCCCTTAGTTTGATTTGAATGAATCAGCAGATAGTTTTTTTCCTTGTATTTGAAGCTCACGAATGCCATGTCTTGACTTAAATTGTTTTAACCAGCCTGTGCTTGCTTGAAAATTTGACGATCCTCCAATTTTTTCGTTAAATTGAACTGCTTTTTCACACAGAATTGGGCCAGAAATTGTTTCTCCCTGGGATCTTTTTTGAGTGAACCAGTTATATACAGCATCATCTAAATTCGTGTTTGAGGCAAGTTTCATCGTTTTACGACTCGTGGATCCGTCAGAAGAATCAAGCTGAGATATAAAGTTACTTATGTTCGTCTTTTGTTTTTTTATATCTGTAATGGTAGACTTACCAACTTGGTATTCAAGGGATAACTTGGTTGCAGATTCGCCTTCCTCTAACCGTTTATTTATTTCGTATTTATCTTTCATACAAAGGAGAACACGTTTACGTTTAGACATTTTAAATCGCGATTATACTTTCATGCGTCAAAATTTCGTTTATCGACTAGCGGTTACTTGGAACTGATATACGAGTACAATTAACAAGTCGTGACAAGTGCACGAGCATTGTAGCTCGGGAGGTGGGAGAGAAGCACGCGCGGGTCGGGCGGGTGTATATCCTAAGTCTATGGGGCGGGTGTAGTAGTTCGGATAAGCGGTCGTTCGGTTAACCGACGTTCGGATAATCGACGCTCCACTGTATTAAACTTTTTATACAATAAATAGTATTTTGAGACTTTCAAATACTGCAGTAACTGTTAATTTTTTATTTTTCAGTGAAATAATTACTAACAAATTGTTACAACTTGTGGAAAAATCTAGTGATTTTGAACTATCCCAAACTAGATATGTTTTAAATGATGTGGAATGCAAAACAGTTTTTGATAAAGAAGATGATCTGATACAATTTCAAGATATGTCCCATATATTGGTTACTAGCAACAAGCCTTTGACCCATGAACTACCAGAAAGAGACATACCATTTGTGAAAATACCAGACCTCTATCCCGTGAAATACTCTGTCACTCTCCCACCTCAACATTTTTATGATGAGAAAAGCATATATCGTAAGTTAAATATTTTGCATAATTTCAATCATTATTATTTAAGCAACATTGTCATGACAATATATTGCATCAACATCAACAACACTATTAAACATTTTGAATTGATTCAATATTAAAAGCACCTGTCACAGAAAATTTATGATGATTTGTTTAATTTTAGATTTACTAATAATATTGCCGGAAGCCCTAGTTATATATATATATACTCTTTGACCTCTAAATTTCCCGTCGCCAGTTTCAAAAGAGGCTAGCCATCTGTGCTAGACAAGATAATAGTGCACGAGTGTGTGTGTGCAAGCACAGTTGCACTCTATATATGTTCACTTTCATAGTCCGATGGTACGGCGACGCAGCAAGAGAGAGATCAGAGACAGGACCAACGGCTTTACGTGTTTTTACGTGCAACAGGCCCGAAGTTGTAACAAGGCTAACTTTCAGACTCCGGATTCCTACTGAGAATTTCTTGTCAGAAAACCTCAATAAACCTTTCAAAGTATTTATATTGAGTAGTTTTGGTGTACATTTAAGATTATATTGTATAATAAATAACCCTTTTCCAGCAATCCAACCAAGCATAACAAACAAACATCCACATACGACATGGTTACACTTTAATAGAACTGAAGTCAGCAATATCTACGAGACTCCTGTTACTGACGCACAAATTCATGGACGCAGCCTCACCCACGCGTTTACGGTTGCGACAGCATATGCAAAACAATTGCATGGGGTAATTTGAAATTTTTCATTTAATTGTATTGCAGTAAATGAAAGGTAAAGTCGTTAACTACTGATTTTATCTGATATTCATTACCCAATGGAATATTTATTTATTCCATTGTTATTTTTTAAATATACTATATAGAATACGAGTGACAAACGAGCACGCAGTCCACCTGATGGTAAATGGATACTGCGGCACATCTACATTTATCTTCGATGTCCATATGCAGATGTTAGCGGCCAAACCCGATATTCTACGATAAACCGATTTAGACTAGGTTAAATTAGTTTGGCCTAAAATCGGGTTTGGCCGCTAACAGATACGTTGTCACCCCTGAGGACAAATACCTCTTCTACACTACTCGCAAAGTAACTGACGAAGTGCTCGTCGAAGTCGATCACAGTCCGAAGAACGTGACTACACACTTGTGCTACTTCGCGAAGAGCTGAGTCGTCTTGAGTCTCCCGCACACTTAACATGAATAAAGTTCAAGAGGCAGCTGCTATAGGTACCTAATTGTGTGAACAGTACGACGTCAATGTGTTAACTAAATAAATAATTAGTGGGAAGCTACATATTTAATATTTATATATAAAAAAATATTCATAACTGACATAAGCCGAGTAGTGTAGTGAGACGCTTCGTGTAACTTCGGGGTACTTCGCGAAGTCCTGACTCTGGCGCGAAAAACCAACAGCTATCCGAAGTCGCCCGAGGCGAAGCGAGGTTACACGAAGCGAATCAAAGTATCTCTCTACACTATTCGCCGCGTCCAACTTCGATCTACTTCGCAAGTATTGTAGAGGTGACATACGATGGAAAGCTTCGAATTCAGGTATCCGGTTCTCTACATTCACTATACAACACTATAATATAGCTGTAGCACGGCTATAACATGTAGATATGTGTAATGAATTGAGCAATAATAGTGGCCCCATTGCACTATTGTGAATTGCCAATCCAAATTCGATCTGATATTGGATGTATAGGACCTTGATACTTCTTCCTTTGAGATTTTATTTGAGGTAGGAATTTACGTATGTTATAATTTTATTTTTATGCCTTTCAGGTTTAAATAACTTACATACAAAATTAAATTAATAAATCTCTGTCAATTTCAACTCTTACTACGCCATTTTGAAATTTTAATTAACAATCTCAATATTGCCATTAAGATGAGCAATACCCTGAGCCGCCATGGCTCTGTCTCGCCATCACCATAAACATTTTCTATGACATACCCTTTAGAAATTGAGGTACCTGTTTGAGTGCTTTTCATCAATCAAACACACTTTTTTTACTGCAGTGTCTTCAGTAGCGTAGTTGGCCCACCAAACGCTTTCCACTCGAGCATTACTAAAATCTATCAATAATGAGTAATGACCGAACAATGCACATTAAAATCATTATAATATCTGTAAAATTTTAATAAAACGTGGTAGAACACAAATCCAATAACTACTGTCTATAAAATACCGGCTATAAAATGGATTTAGAAAGATAAATAGCTGAAAACTTTCTGCTATTTATTTGTTATATTCTAACATTAGTTATTGAAAACGGGCATATGTAAACATTCAAAAGCATTAAAATATATCTCCAAAGTTCTTTTATTACTATAACAAAAATAGACATTCATTTCTTACAGGAAGAAGTTCAAGACCTGCCAGAACCAATATATGTGAACTGTATACAAACAGATGGACAGAAATACCATTTTGGTGTTTTTGAATTGAACACATTGAATGTGGATGGTGTTGAAGGTACAAAGAATGTGTGGTATTGCAAAAATGACGTGAAACTGTATGATCGAAGCTGTTACTTCAATGGCATGCCAGTCTTAGAAAACTATAACCCGAAAGTTTTTGGATACATCAACGCTTTTTACCATTGTTAGATATTATTAGTCAAAATATTATTTATTAACTAACAGTCTTATTCATAAAAAAATTCTTACAAAAATATTGTAAGTTTATAAAATGCTAAATAACGGGTACGGCTCAACCATCCTTGATACTGTAAGAGTCCTGCAATTGCAATTGTCATGGTTATTTAAATTGTCCGATATGTCTCACATTCCTTACAAAATCGTGCCCGATGCAATATTACATTTTGTTCCATTGAGGACATGAGGACATTGGAGAAAATATTGTTTGTAATTAAAATGTTACACAATGTATTTCTTAAATAACCCAAAGCCAATGAAGAAACTGTTAAGTCTGATAAAAGCACAAATATGATAAAAAAATATTACAGAGTGCCATATTGATTTGACGGATTTTACTAAACTGTTTAAGGAATTTTTATGAATAAGACTGTATGTTTTAATTTTCAAAGTAGTTAAAGTTGAAGAACAATGTAAAAAAATAAAATGTTATTTAAATGTATTCATGTGTATATCCTTTTATATTTACAAAAACATAAATACATTTATTTTTGATTAGAATACACAATGTTTGCATACTGAAACACTTTTCACATTAAAATTAATAGCAAGTTGAGAAGTTGAACAGAAAGTTTCCAGGCGTCAGGCTTATTTCTCCATTGTGAATTTTTGCAATCGACGTCTTCTTAGTTCTTCCGCATCAGCATCAGTCTTCTCTCTGCATAAATACACACATACTATAAATACATATAAAATTAACAAAAGCTTCATAAAATTATATTAAATTCTTATTAGTTTAGAATTTAGACTACAACTGACTTATTAGATATTTTAAGTAATTTAATAAAAACAAACTCCTCACACCTGTCACTCAGAAAGGTAGACAGAGATTTTAATTTAGCACAACTCACCTCTCGTCTCGCTTTTTCACATCATCCTTTCTACACATACATGCACGTCGCCTTGATACTCTTAGCTTGGCCCATCTTCAATATAATAATATAGTTGGACTTACATAATAGTTTAGATATAATTACTTTAGCCACAATATGTTTTGTATATTGTATATGTTTTAAAAAACGTAACCTCCACACTAAAGTTTTCTCCTGTATCGCGGGGCAGTTTACTAACATAAGTTGCACAAGGACAAACATCCAGGTCCGGAACAATTATTTTGTAAGCCATACAAATATTTGTTCCGCGCGATTCTTAGCGCTGCAACTCAATTGCTAAACCACTGCGCCACAGAGCTGTTAATGAGTAAAATTTGGAAAATGCAATGAAAGTATAAGGTGGAAAAGTAACATGTCATGGTTCATTATCACAAAAGAAGTATTAACTTCTACTGTATGTATATATACACACGCAGTATCTTTTTTGTAAAAAACCATAATATAATTCTTTCAGCTTTGAGATATTATGATGATATAAATGATAATACAGTCCGTACGGATAACGAATGGGATTAGAAATGGAGCCTCATCGAGCCCGTACGAGGCCTCTGTCAGTCTTGCTACCTGCGTGAAATAATTATGTACCTGCGATCGCGAGGCGCCCCCCGTGATACAACGCAGTCTGGGCTAGCGCGTTATAGGCAATTGAATGTTAGAGTTTTTTTATGCTATTTACGTAAATAGTTTTTGTAATACACGTTTTAATAGTTTTTGTTTAGTGGTTAGTATATTTAAGCCTTGGATACACTTGGGGACAAAAGGAGCGGCATGTTGCGCAACATGTCGCACAGTCCACAGAACAAATAATAGTACAACAAAAGGAGGATCAGTCTTTGATAGCAAACTTGCGAGTTTAAACTTAGTTACAACGTAGATAATGTTCATAATACTTTGCACGCCTCGGATACGACCTTCGTTAAATTAGCTTACCGATTAAATCGTTGAAAAAAAAATTAATGCACCTTACACGTCCGCGTGTGAAAGTTTGTATCACTTAGCCCGTTACGCGCCTTTGTTAAGGCCGCTTCTACTGTAGGGTTAGGTGTTGTGAAAAAACAAATTGAATCCTTTAGATAGTAGTACTAGTAGAAAACACCGAGGTGTTATGCAATGTATTAGTCATTTGCTGACAATATAACAAATAAATACGACGACGTGACGAGACCATTTTTACGTGTTGTAGAACTGAAGTCTGTGTTAATACTGCCCAAAAACCGAGCATAGGCCGGCACCGACACCGGCGCCGTGGCAGTGTCTTGCCGGTTAATGGAAAACCGCCCAATGGCAGGTCTATATTTTACACAAAAATATTAACAAACAAAATCTCTAATAGTTATGAAGAAAACCCTGAACGCATCCTAGGTTACAAATTAGCAAAACTGGACTGATTTTTTTTGTAGTTAATGGCATTTTGTTATCTGCCATTGATTCCAATGACAAAACCGAAATTATAGAACGTACGAAAAACGAACATCGTAACGTATTTTTTTCTTATCTTTTCGTATCTTTACCAGCGGGTTTGATTATAGATAGTGATAGTATGCGAGCACGAGGTGAATAGAGGTGACGCCATTTTCAATCCCACGAATAGTAATGATGCTTCGTTGCAGCACAATCATATCCTATCTCATCTCAACTTCAAAGAAATGCTAGGAAACTATTGGCCGCCACCATCCCAAAAATGGTAAAAGCTGAATGCCCAACAATCATAAACAAAATAACTAGATTTACAAATACAATTTGACGGCTCGATTTGCAGTCGCCAAGAGTTTTCCTTGCTCAGAATAACTCTGCTCTAGTATTTTTCATCACCCCCTATTTCGTGCCGTGGTCGTCGTAAGAGGCAACTATGGGAAATGCCGGAAAACACATATGGCTTCCGATAGATAGCGTAATAGCAATCTCGTTTAAGCAAAACAAGCACGTCCGGTACTCGGATCGTCAATCTGCTCGCTTAGTATGACGCTTAAGGCAAATTCTCCTCATAACGGGAGAGCCTTACGTCCATCAATGGAACTATATGGGTTGGTAAAGAAGAAAAATATCTTTATTACTTTAAAATTTAGATAAATTTATCAGCTTGACTAATTATTACAGGCATAGGTTTAATTTCAGTATATCAAGTGGAAGGACTCGTTTCATCATCATCATCATCATTACAGCCATTCACAAGTCCACTGCTGAACATAGGCCTCCCCCAAGGAATGCCACAAAGCACGATCCTGAGCCACCTGCATCCATCGACTTCCTGCATATCTTACCAGGTCGTCACTCCATCTAGTGCGGAGACGCTCAACACTTCGCCTGCCGGTACGAGGCTGCCACTCGAGAACCTTTCTTCCCCATCGGTTGTCGGTTCTTCGAGCTATATGGCCGGCCCATTGCCACTTCAGCTTACCTATCCGTTGGGCTATGTCGGTTACTCTGGTTCTACTGCGGATATCCTCATTTCTGAGTTTATCACGCAGAGAAACTCCGAGCATAGCCCTCTCCATAGCTCGCTGAGCGACCTTGAGCTTCCTCATCCGGCTAGCAGTGAAGGACCACGTCTCAGTTCCGTATGTCATCACTAGCAACACGCACTGGTTGTACAGTCTCGTTTTCAAGTTTTGAGGTATACCTGACGAGAAGATGTGCCGTAATTTCCCGAACGCTGCCCAACCGCGTTGAATCCCTCGATTGACCTCTCGGTCGAAGTTGGACTTACCTAATCGGACTATTTGTCCCAGGTAAACATACTCGTCAACAACTTCGAGCTTAGTGCTCCCAACAACTACCGGCATAGGTGTGACATGGACATTAAACATGATCTTAGTTTTGTCCATGCTCATCTTAAGACCTATCCGTTGGGAAGCACTATTGAGGTCATTGAGTATAATGCTTAGGTCCTCCAGCGATTCTGCCATAAGGACTATATCGTCGGCAAATCGAAGGTGAGTGATGTACTCGCCATTGATGTTGATACCGTATCCTTTCCAGTCCAGAAGCTTGAAAACGTCTTCTAATGCCGCGGTGAAGAGTTTCGGGGATATGACGTCACCCTGTCTTACACCTCTCTGCAATTGGATAGGTTTCGTATTCTGGTTCTGTACTCGGATAGCCATCGTAGCCCTACAGTACAAGCACTTCAGCACTTTGATATACCGACAGTCCACTTGGCACCGCTGAAGGGACTGCTGCACCGCCCAAATTTCGACGGAATCAAAGGCTTTCTCATAGTCCACATACGCCAGACATAGTGGCAAATTGTACTCCTCTGACTTTTGTACAATTTGCCGAAGGGTATGTATGTGGTCTATGGTGCTAAAGTCTTTTCGGAAACCGGCTTGTTCAGGAGGCTGGAAGTCGTCAAGTCTGCGCGCGAGACGATTCGTTATGACTCTCGAAAACAGCACGTAGACGGGGCTCAGAAGGGAAATCGGTCTGTAGTTCTTCAAGAGAGCGTTGTCGCCTTTCTTGAAGAACAAGACCACCGCACTTCTGCTCCACGCCTCCGGTGTAATGTCACCATGGAGGACGGAATTAAAGAGCTTCTGAAGGACTTCAAGTACCGGTTTTCCACCCGCTTTCAGAAGCTCCGCTGTAATTCTATCCTCGCCTGGGGCCTTTCCGTTTTTAAGGTGCTGGAGAGCCATTCTAATCTCGCTCAGACTGACGTCCGGGATATTATCGGAATAGTGTCGGATAAGACTCGCTCTTGGATCGTTACTCACACTTGTGTGTGGCTCCAACGATGACGTGTACAGCTGCCCGTAGAACCTCTCAATCTCACTCAAAATCTCAAGTGCCCCGGAAACGATGCTGCCACATTCTGTCTTCAACTTTGCAAGTTGGCTCTTTCTGGCAGACAGATCTCTGGCAAAGACTTTGGAGCCTTGGTTCCGCTCAATCGCTTCTTCAATACGAGCTGTATTAAAGTTGCGTAAGTCCCGCCGCATGCATTTGGAGATCTGTCTGTTCAGTTGCCTGTACGCTGTCAAATCTGTTGAAGAATGTAGCTTCATCTCTCGTCTAACAGCCATGAGATTAAGAGTGTGATCGGAGAGTTTTTGTGTTCTTCTGCGGCGGGTCTTGCAGAACTTAGCTCCGACCGCATGGACAGTTTCCACGAGCTTGTCATTCATATCGTCCACTTCATTGCAGTCTTCTAGGCACTGAAACCGATTTTGTAACTCGAGCTGAAAGGTTTCGGGACTTTGGATTAGAGCACGAGCGGGACGGAGCGTCGACTTCATTAGACGAGACCTCTCCAACTTAACGTTTAGGTTCAGTGTGCCTCTGAACATTCGGTGATCGCTGCCGGTTTTCACGCTCGCGATCACTGAGACATCACTGAACAGTTGTCGTCTGGTCAGTCTCATTTTTTATCGAACCGTCAGAGCTCGACCAGGTTCACTTCCTGTGGGGCCGCTTCTGGAAGAAAGAGTTCATCATAAAGAGTCCCTCTTTCTCCATGAAGTCGGCCAGCTGCTGGTCTCTTGGGTTCCGTTGCCCTATTCCAAATTTCCCTACTTTCAGCTCACCATTCTCTCTTGTGCCTAGTTTTGCATTGAAGTCTCCCATTAACACCGTATATTGGGTTTTGGAGGAATGCATGGCTCTAGAGATATCCTCATACATTTCCTCCACCTCCTCATCGGGGTGTGCCGAGGTTGGTGCGTAAACCTGTATGACCTTCAGCGAATACCGTTTGGTGATTCTGAGTATAAGGTACGCAACCCTCGTCGACACACTCAATCTTTACAACGTTGTTAACGAGACTTGTGGACGATAAATCCGACACCTCCTTGGGACAGATGGTCGCCCTCCCGGTAATAGAGCAAGTTGCCGGATTCGAGGATTACCGTTTCCTCCCCCTCTCTTCGGACTTCGGATAATCCTATAATATGCCAGCGTAACTTGTCTATCTCTTCTTCCAGCTCCACAATCTTCTCGTTAGTCCTCAGGGTGCGTGCGTTGTATGTTGCCAGGTCGAGTCGTCGTAGGTGGCAACCGAACCTCCACCGGAGATTCTTAGCACCCCCTGCCCCGCCGTTACCATGGTCGCAACCGTAGCCAGGAATAGCGGCGCCGCCGGGGACTGGGGGCCGTCTCTTAGTAACTTTATCCATTTGGGGGGTATTTGCCATAGTTGCCACGCTTGGCGACCGGGTTGGCAACCGCAGTTTTTTTATTGTATTTTGGCTAATATCAGGAAGATGCTGCTGCCCATCTCCTGCCTATTTCCCTTTGTCGCCTTTTACGACACCCACGGGAAGATATGGGGTAGTGGACATTCTTAACCGCCACTACACGGCTACGTTTACGGGATAGGACTCGTTTAACTCGTTTTTATGCTGCCTAATAGCAGCACCTACACTACTGTATTCCAATCTGAAGGGTATAGAGAACTAGTTCAATTACAGGCTGTGAGGCATTCCATCTTAGACCTCAGAGGTGACAAAGCATCTGTAGCCTACTTTGTTTGAAGTAAGCTAGAAGTATCCATGGACTGCAGTAACCACTTCTTTATAAAAAAAAAGTTATGTAATTTTATTTCACCTTTTCACATTTAAATTAGTTGTCTCAGATGAAGACACATCTTCAAAGTCCTCTGTGACTGTAGCGGTGCTGGTTGATGGAGTGGCTGCAGGCTGCTTGTAATTGGATGTGGTTGGAACAACGTCTGGCTCTGTTTTCACTTTTACTGGCGACGGTTCTGGCGAAGGCTCGGTTCGGCTGCAATAGAATAGAAATAATTTAATTAGTTAAACATTTTGTAACTATCAATACTGTACTTTTAGTTTTCAGGAAATTTTCAATATTTCTCTTTGGTTTGGTTCTTAAACATACATTAGTAATCAGACATGTAACAAAAGAACCTAAAAACTGCGATCAAGCTCTTAATCTTGAGGCTGTTAGGTGGGAAATGAAACTGCAATCTTAAACAGATATGACAGCGTACAGGCAAATGAACAGACAAATTGGCTCATATTGTAGAAGCGATTCAGCAAAATGAAGGGTCCAGTCTTTGTCAGAGATCTGTCTGCCAGAAAAAGCCAACTTTCAACTTAACACAGACTGACAGCATAATTTCATGGACACGTGAAACTTTGAGTGAGATTGAGATGTTCATCGGTCGGACAGCTGTGACATACAAGTGTGAGCAAAAACGTTAATATGAGTGAGATAAAAATGGCTCTCCAACACCTTAGGATAGAATGAAAAGGCTAGGCTGTAAACTGAAAGTTTAATTAAGCTAGTTGGCTGCAACATATACATAAGCTCCGATAGTCAAGGAGCATTGCTTGCACTGAGATTGAACTTTAAGCTAGGGCGCCACAACAGGGTCGTATTGGCTTCCGGGACATGCATAGGCAATGAACAGACCGAAATCTCACACGGCGTGATGTTTCAACAAGAACACGTTTTTGACCCGAGCTATTTGGTGGAATCTTAATGACTGGTTCAATTGGTTCTTGAAAACCGATTTGTCTAACAAAATCTCTTAAGGCCCCTATCAATGATTATAGAAATAGTATTCTTGCAAGACCTGCATAATAGCTCACAAATAAAACATACTGAAAACATAACGAACAATATAAAAAAAAAAAAGCAAACACTGAACTCATTTGGGTTGAACGCTGGGTTGATACAGGCATTGAAGTCTCTGTATAGGGACTCTAGTGCTTGTGTCAGGATCAATGGGGCCTACTCGGACTGGTTTGGCATTCATAAAGGTGTCAGACAGGGCTGTGTGGCTTCCCCGTGGCTGTTCAACCTATTTATGGACAGTTGTTTGGAAAATTTGAAAGTAGAAGAATGCGGGTTAAGAATGGGTGAGTTAACCGTCAAATGCCTTTTGTACGCCGATGATCAAGTCATACTTGCGTCGTCGGCAGCCGAGTTGCAAATGATGGTTACATTAATGAACAGGACATTAAAAGAAAAGGGAATGAAAGTGAACGCAAGTAAGACGAAAGTTATGGTTTTTGAAAGAGAAGAAAGTAAAACGATATGTGAAATAGGAATAGAAGGGAAGTTGGTAGAGCAAGTAGATGAGTTTGTGTATTTGGGATGTGTTTAGCAGGGATGGTAGATATGATAAGGAAATAGGACGACGAGTGAATGCAGGAAATAGAGTGAATTGGGCTCTACACACTATTGTGAGAAGTCAGAATGTGTCCAAAAAGTCACGTATGGTAATTCACAATGCTGTGTTAGTACCTACCTACTTTAATGTATGGTAGTGAAAGTTGGGTATGGCAGAAGAAGCACGAGAGTAGAATAAATGCTGTAGAAATGCGATCATTAAGGAGTATGCTAGGGATGAATCTCAATGACAGAGTGAGAAATTGTTTAATAAGAGAAGAGTGTGGTTTGCAAGATGATATTGTGACCAGGATTAAGAAAGGAATGATTCGGTGGTTTGGTCATGTAGAAAGAATGAATGAGGAAAGAGTGACAAAGCAAATTTATGTTGCAGAGGTGAACGGCAGAGTCGGGAAGGGTCGCCCTAGGCGAAAGTTTATCGACCAAATTGGCGATATATTGAAAATGGGCCAAATCAAGAGTACCTTTAACCGACGGGCGTGTATGCGTAGGTATATGGATGTGGAGGAAGCGAGAGGTGTGTCAGGATCGCTCCAAATGGAAGTCCATAGTCTCTGCCTACCCCTCTGGGTGACAGGCGTGAGTGTTTATATTAAAGTTGACAAAAAATTACTTTGCGTACATCCGCGCGATAAAATAAAATGATGTGTCTTACCTAGTTTGAAGAGCACCTCCCGCCCTCCCTCAATTGCGTGCACTATCCCCGTCACCACTAATCCCAGCAAAACTACTCCCAACGCCACTACACTAGGAAAGACACCACTGACGACAATATGACACGTGTTTCGCCTCTACACGAGGCATCCTCAGGTGATATAGACTACGGTGGCTAACCACTAAGTGAGCGGCGAGCCAAAACAACTGCTATTTATACAGACAAGTATACAGAAAGTGAGTGTTTATGTTTATGTATTATGCATAATTTAAGCAAGATGCAATCATCTCAGTTGCTCAATGTTAAGAACTGTACTCACAATATTTCAGTCTGCGTGGCAACATTGGCGCTGTTCTGCGGCAGGTTAGCCACCACCGTTGAGTATTGCTGCATCAGAAGCACTGACGCATCCAACATCGCTTGAATTTCCCGAAGCAACTAAAATTAAACGATTTGAATTTAATAATTAATAATAGAAAATTAAAAACAAAGAAAATAGACTCGCAACAAATAGTGTATTCGGCCGAATAAAGAACATTCTGCGGACTTCCTGGCCGAGTAGGCGAATATCAGGCTAAAGTATTCGGTCGGGAAGGATGTAGTGTTTATTCTTCAAAGCTGGGATTGTCTGTCTACGCGAAGAAAAGTAGTAAACTACTGTGAAAATAACGAAAAATTAGTATTTTCTGCACCATTATCTGCCACTTTAATTACGATAATTCAAGTACATAGACATTTATCTGATAGTTCCTTTTTTAATTTTTAATAATATGGAAGTTGATTATGTACCTTTGTTACATTCATAGGGGGTTTTGAAGTCCTTCAGAAGCTCTTTAATTCCGTCCTCCATGGTGGCATTACACCGGAGGCGTGGAGCAGAAGTGCGGTGGTCTTGTTCTTCAAGAAAGGTGACAACGGTCTCTTGAAGAACTACAGACCGATTTCCCTTCTGAGCCGCGTCTACGTGCTGTTTTCGAGAGTCATTACGAATCGTCTCGCGCGCAGACTTGATGACTTCCAGCCTCCCGAACAAGCCGGTTTCCGAAAGGGCTTTAGCACCATAGACCACATACATACCCTTCGGCAAATTGTACAGAAGTCCGAAGAGTACAATTTGCCACTATGTCTGGCGTATGTGGACTATGAGAAAGCCTTTGATTCCGTCGAAATTTGGGCGGTGCTGCAGTCCCTTCAGCGGTGCCAAGTTGACTGTCGGTATATCGAAGTGTTGAAGTGCTTGTATAGTAGGGCTACGAGGGCTATCCGAGTACAGAATCAGAGTACGAAACCTATCCAATTGCAGAGAGGTGTAAGACAGGGTGACGTCATATCCCCGAAACTCTTCACCGCTGCATTGGAAGACGTTTTCAAGCTCCTGGACTGGAAAGGATACGGTATCAACATCAATGGCGAGTACATCACTCACCTTCGATTTGCCGACGATATAGTCCTTATGGCAGAATCGCTGGAGGACCTAAGCACTATGCTCAATGACCTCGATAGCGTTTCCCAAAGGATAGGTCTTAAGATGAACATGGACAAAACAAAGATCATGTTCAATGTCCATGTCACACCTATGCCGGTAGTTGTTGGGAGCACTAAGCTCGAAGTTGTTGACGAGTATGTTTACCTTGGACAAATAGTCCGACTAGGTACGTCCAACTTCGACCGAGAGGTCAATCGACGGATTCAACTCGGCTGGGTAGCGTTCGGGAAGCTACGACACATCTTCTCGTCAGACATACCTCAAAACCTGAAAACGAAATTGTACAACCAGTGCGTGTTGCCAGTGATGACTTATGGAACTGAGACGTGGTCCTTCACTGCTGGCCGTATGAGGAAGCTCAAGGTCGCTCAGCGAGCTATGGAGAGGGCTATGCTCGGAGTTTCTCTGCGTGATAAACTTAGGAATGAGGATATCCGCAGTAGAACCAGAGTAACCGACATAGCCCAACGGATTAGTAAGCTGAAGTGGCAGTGGGCCGGCCATATAGCTCGAAGAACCGACAACCGATGGGGAAGAAAGGTTCTCGAGTGGCAGCCTCGTACCGGTAGGCGAAGTGTAGGGCGTCCCCCCACGAGATGGAGTGACGACCTGGTAAGACATGCAGGAAGTCGATAGATGCAGGTGGCTCAGGACCGTGCTTTGTGGCATTCTTTGGGGGAGGCCTATGTTCAGCAGTGGACTTGTGAAGGGCTGTAATGATGATGATGATGATGATTATGTACCTATGGCTACTTTAACGATTACAAGAAAAAAAATATTATGAAAGAAATAAATATTTTCATTTTACCAATTCAATCTGACTACAATAGAACGTTTTACTCTATTAGGTATTCGGACGAATAGTACCTAGTATTGTATCTTCGGTATTCGACCGAATGAGGGTTAATGATTTTCTGCTCACCAGATGTCGCTAGTTGACACTGAGGTAATTTTTTTGTTACTCAATGTCATTTAATTGAGAAGTTAGTTTTAAATAAAAGTTTATCATTTTCTAGAGTATTATATTAATACACAAAAAATTCCTGTGGTTTGCTCTTTAATTTCTTGCACATTTTTAACTTTTTTAAAAATGTTCTACTTTTATGAATATCTGTGGCTTGGTTTTTTTATTTCTAATCTAATTAATATAAAATTCTAAATCCAAACGACTACATAATTTCTGGAAGTATTCGTTTTCTCCGTGTATTCACACACAACACTCTTTTAAGTTTTTTTGTTGTTTTTATTTGAGTTGTTTCTGTTTTATTTCCTCTGTCTCTTCTTAGGACACCCACGGGATGATATGGGATAGTGGGTAGTCTCTCACCGCCTCTACACAGCTTCCACCACGCTTAAGGCGGCGTAATATCAACCTATCAAAGTAAGCATCGCTTACTTAATATGACATGTATTTGTATGGCCTACAAATAATTGTTCCGGGTCTGGATGTTTGTCCTTGTGCAATTTATGTTTGTAAACTGCCTGCACGACACAGGAGAAAATCCTAGTGTGGGGGTAACGTTTTTTAAAGAAAAAAAAAATCTAGTCAAGTTATTACCTGCAAACGCGCTTCAATATTCCTGCGTTCGTGGCCCTCCATACGCTGCAGCTCTGCGGTGGACAAATTGGCGAGGGAAGCAGGCCGTGGTGGCGGCGGTGGCATACCCCATGCCATCATCGCTAGAAACATATAATTTAAATCACTATGACGTTAAAAAAACTTATACAAGAATGAAGAATCACAATGAAGTCAACACTAAAATGTGTAGGCAGGTATGTTTACTTAATAGTTCAGGAAGGGTTTTAAAAAAAAGCTTGAGACAAATCCTCGAGAGTGCCTGTCTTCTCCTATATTTTACTGTCAGAATTCCTAGAAAAGAACATTTTACGTTATTTTGACTACGGTAGGTTTATTCCATGTTACACGACTCAAAATATCATTTTACATTCCCTTTCGTAGTAAATTATAATAAACATCTAATGATTGTGATGGTCGAAATAAAGATAAAGTCCATCTCCGCGGAACCCTAGTCAATAAAGCTGGTTTTAATAGCATAAACATTAAAAAAAAAACAATAATAACTTACTTCGACATAGGCAAATTATAAAAAAAAAATATGTTACTTTTCAGGTACATCCAGGTAACTGATTACAAACTGTCTTTAAATTTAAAAGAGTACTCTGTGTTCCACTAGCAACACTGAAATTCTACTTTGAGAAAGTGTTTGTTTGCATGTAAAATTGCCGGCTTTAGCAAGAGCGGTTTTTTTTACAGAAAGAAGGTGGACAATGGTGATATTAGAAATAAATCAATCATCATCATCATCATCATCATTACAGCCTTTCGCAACTCCACTCCTGAACATAGGCCTCCCCCAAGGAATGCCACAAAGCACGGTATTAAGCCACCTGCATCCATCGACTTCCTGCATGTCTTACCAGGTCGTCACTCCATTTAGTGGGGGGTCGCCCTACACTTCGCCTACCAGTACGAGGCTGCCACTCGAGAACCTTTCTTTCCCATCGGTTGTCGGTTCTTCGAGCTATGTGGCCGGCCCACTGCCACTTCAGCTTACTAATCCGTTGGGCTATGTCGGTTACTCTGGTTCTACTGCGGATATCCTCATTTCTAAGTTTATCACACAGAGAAACCCCGAGTATAGCCCTCCCCATAGCTCGCTGAGCGACCTTGAGCTTCCTCATACGGCCAACAGAAAGAAATAAATAGTGAAAAATAATTTAATCGTTTCGTCCAGTTCTTCTCGAATTCCTCTTCATCTAGTTTTTCATTCGACAAATGCAAAACATAAATAAAAGTATCAGTTTTATGCGGCTTAAAAATAATATACCGAATTTAATGAGAGTGGGTAGCGAAACGTTGTTCGAAGTATACAAAATGTTTTTCCAAACACAATGACGGTTATAATGATCAAAAGCAATGGCTTCATTATTAAAACGATGGATACATTAAGAATTAAATAAGCTTTACATACACGTTTGCATCTGTCATTCAATTCATGGACTGCAATAGCCACTGCATAGTTTTATAAAATAAAATAAAAACTTTTATTCAGAGGAGACTTTTTACATACTTGATTATGACATCAGCGTCAAACATGGACATTGAACCATTCTTAACAAATGTATAAACAAAAAAACCTACCGGTAGTTTTTTGCGTAACATTAACAGAAGACACCGATGAAGCACTCTGGTCATGGTTTGACTCACACATTTGAACATGTTTCCTCATTCGATCTAAAATACCTTGCATTTCCTTATTGCACTTCTTACATCGCGCCCACATCCCACTGTTTTTATTAGTGATGCAATGAAATTTTTTCCACACTGGATTTTTAGCTCTAGGCATTATATTTTATAACAAAGTTCAATTAATCCAAATCAGATTTATTTCGTATTTATTTATAAATCAGAAACCAGTGTAGTTTGTTTAAAATATCGGAAAAGACTACACATATTGAAGTATTTTATTGCGTTGAACATAATACAGTGATAATTATCTTTTTTTTTCTTGATAAATAGCGACGTAATTATCTTTAATTATCTGCGATAAACGATAATTATCGTGCAAAAATAATTACCTTGCGATAATAACACATTAGATTCAATGAAATCAAGGTTACAATGGAACAAATTTTTTAAGCTTTATAGTTAATATTAAAATAGTATAAAATATAAATGAAAATAGAAAAAAATGTGTGAAAACATAGGAAAAGCGAATTGTATCACTTATAACACATTTAACTCAAGGTATGTGGACTAAATTATTCGACAGCTCGCTGCTCTTCCTATCTCTACATTCGATTTTTACGTGGTAGAGCCACGCTGCAGCTATAATAGTAGTAGCATGAATGGCTCGGCAAGACTGGAGTAGGAACACGCTCTCACAGAATACCAGCGTAAAATAGCAGGTTAACGCTGCTGTGTTGCGTATGGTAAGTGTGGAGAACCGGAGATCCTTTTACTGGAAACGAGGCATTCCATCTTAGTCCTTAGGGTTAACAACGCATCTGCATTTCGATTTTTGAACTGTATGTAGATGTCTATGGACCACATCACCCACTTACCATCAGGTGGACTATGTGCTCGTTTCTTACCCTTATTCTACAAAAAAAAAGCCTCTTAGGATATTTGCCATAGTTTTTTTTAAATACTTTTATTTGTTATATGGAAGGCACTACTGCTCATTTTCCGACTTGTTTCTCTCTGTCTCATCTTAAGACACCCGCAGGACGATACAGGGTAAAGGATATGCTTACACCGCCACTACACAGTGCTTTCTCTTACTTAAGATTGTTTAAGAATAAAATAGCAGCTTAACGCTGCTGTTTCGTATGGTTAGTGTAGTTCTCTACACTCATCATACGAAACACACACCGGAGACCCTTTTTACTGGAGATGAGGCACTCCATCTTAGTCCTCATGGCTGACAACGCATCTGCATTTTGATTCGTAATGGCGGATAGATATAGATGTCTATGGGCCATAGCAACCACTTACCATCAGGTGGACTGTGTGCTCGTTTGTCACCCATATCCTATAAAAAAAGTATCTGGAATAAACCGACCGACGATGACAATACCGTATCTGCGAATTCTGACCGAGTACGCTGTACGCGTGGCTTGTAAAGAACAACAATAACTACTAAACTATCAACAGACTCATTAAATTCTACAGTATACTTACGTGGAGGCGGCATGTTAGGGAAGGGCGGTGGCACGATGTTGGCTGCTGGCGGCGGCACGGGCGCATTGCCATGTGGAACATTGCCGGGCGGTACATTTCCGGGTGGTGCATTGCCGTGGGGTACATTGCCGGGCGGTGCATTGCCATGGGGTACATTAGGGGGCGCGTGCGGTTGTTCCGGTGCCGGCGCTCGTAGCACGTTAAGCCTGCACGTGGGACAAGTCTGCTGACGCTGGAACCACAGTCTTAGGCACGCAGCGTGGAATATGTGGTTGCAAGGCAGCTTCTTCGCGCCTGAAACGAACAATAGTAACGTTGTAGGGTAACCCCACTGGTTAATTATCGTTAATAATTATCAGGATATTTATCAAGAATATGTACTGATAATTATCAATGATAATAACGTTTATTCCTGCGTGATATTGTGCGTAAAGTCTATATCGTGTATCCGAACACGGGTAATATTGTGCGTCAAATTTTTGGCGTTCAGTTGATAGTGTGTAGCAGAACACGAGAAATGTCAATGGGTGGGAATTTTCCTTGTTTAGTTTTGATAGTTTTTGTTGTGTTGATTACTAAATATACATAAAAGATATAATATACGTAAAGAAACATACAACAAAATCTGGATCCACTGTGGCCAAAGTTGATCAGATGACGAGGATGATATCCCATTGATTAATTTATTTTGTAATAATGTTGATAAATAAAAATATTGCTAAAATCAATCAATAAGAATCAGCAACACTGATTTGTTTTGATTTATATATCTATTTATCTGTATCTATTTCTATTAGTTATGTTGATTTTGTCTTTGATTTTATCGAGCTTATAGTGGGGTGGGGTGGTAATATGACAAATAATGTTGATTTGTTTAAATTTTATTATTGTTGATTGTATCAAACAAAAAGCATTTTTTTTTGTTTTTAAATAAAATAATTATAACTATTAAAATACTTTTATTACACATTATATTGCTCGATAATAACCGGATAAATAACGGATAATTATCGGATAATTATCAGATAATTATCAATAAACATTAATATCTTGATAATTTGCAGCCCTGGTTGTGAAACGTTGATTACTGTAATGATTGCGAAGTTAGGCAGTTTCATGCCAGCACTTCGAGTTTTATTTATGTCTTGGTGTTAAACATTAGTCTTAAATTTCTTTGCCGTATTGAGAATTCGCGGAGATTGATTATTATAGATAATATATAACCAATGCTTAGGGCAGAAATTGTAGTAAGACTTTTGGTACATCCTTGCATATGCTTAGTCCTCCCCCTAAATAGTGGCAATCACCCTTTTCAAAAAGCCGTAAAGGAATTGTCACTTGTTTGAAAAATATGACATTTATCGCTTTACATATACCATCTTATTACAAAACATGATTTATTCATAGTCTCTGGTTTAAACTATGGTTTAAGAATAATCCAGTTTACAGGCACAATAGTAAGACAATAATAATGACCCGTATGTGGGTCACGGGACAGTGAATGTGTTAAGAAGTATCTTAGACACAGACGCCACGGTCTTCGCAAAAGTTGGCTTTGATAGAGTGACAAACTAGCACACAGTCCACCTGATGGTTCGTTTGCGTATCAAAATGCAGATGCATTGTCACCCGTGAGGACTAAGATGGAATGCCTTTTTTCCAGTAAAAAGGGTCTCCGGTTCTCTACACTCACCATACAAAACACAGCAGTTTTAAGCTGCTATTTTACGCTGGTATTCTGTGAGAGCGTGGTCCTTCCCCGGTCGAGCCGACCCATTCGTGCTACAACTATACTACTAATATAGCTGCAGCATGGCTCTACCACGTATAAAATTCATTCATTTGCTGTCGAATTCCATACCTTACATTTTAGTACGCATATTTGCCGTGTAGTGACGATGTAAGAATATCCACCACCCCATATCGTCCCGTGGGGGTCGTAAGAAGCGACAGAGGGCAATTAAAACAGGTGATGGACAGCAGCATCTTCCTGATTACAACTAAAAGTAGTAAAAAACTGCGGTTGCCAACCCACTAGCCAAGCGTAGCAACTATGGTAAGATCCCCCCATGTGACCTATGTTCAGCAGTGCACTTTTATAGGCTGTAATGGATGGAATGGAATGGAATAGACGCATGTTTAAGCGGGTCTTAGTTTTTCTCTCTCAGTTAACTTTTTTTAAGATTAAATATTTAAACGACTTTTTGTAATAAGACCGATTAAGTGTTATTGAATAGCGGTAAACTCAAATATGGTGATGATAACGCACCATTGTTGCACAATTGTATTTGATAAAATAGTGCACGAGTGATATTATTACATATTATTATGTATTAGGATATAAATAAAATTATACATGTCACTTAAATCGATAAAGTGAAATATCGTGTCGTAAAACGCGTTCTAAGCACGTTTGTCATTATAAGTTTATTAAATACCTAAAAGTTGTATCATATAGATTATTTTAAAATAATAGTTGATTATGTAATTAATTTAAATGAAGCAAAAAATATAGCATGTAACCTTGACTTTTTCGTGTGTAATATTGCCTCACTTCTGGTTGCACACGAGAATTACAATTAAATGCAAGTTTCACTAACCTTGCTGTTTGTTTAAAGTAGTATTTTACCAAACGGCTGTGTTGTAGCAACCTTGAAGTTATATTTTTGTTCAAAAATTCAAATTCTACTTATTTTTAATTCATGACAGAGATGTGAAGTTTTGAGTCAGCCTCTTGATTTTTTATTGAAATTGAAAGTAAAAATTAATGTATCTTATTGAACTCTATACATGCCAGGAGGTAGGTACACTTTCCAACTTTGTTACTAGTTGATGTATGACGCAAAACCCTTCATGATGTTTATCCTATTATACATTTTTTTATTTCTTTCTCTTCCATTTCTTTTCTTTCCAATAATGTGTACCTCCTACGAAATTGTTATTTTCCGGTTTCAATGGTAAGAGGACCTGTGTAATTACTGGCTATGAGACATTTCATGCTAATCCTCTGGATTAACAATGTATCTGTGCTTTTGTTTGTTTGAAGTTGATAGCAGACATCCTGCAGAAGTTGATAGCAGACATCCTGCAGGCTGCAATAGCCACTAAACACTTACCACCAGGTGGACCATTAGCTCGTTTATCTATACAAATAAATAAAATTGAAGTGAGTGTTTGTAATGTCAAAATTACAGCATTTAACTAAACGCATATGAAAGTATATACTGTACTAATAACAAAAATACAATTTTTAAAATTTTTTGTCTGTCTGTCTGTCTGTTTGTTCCGGCTTAATCTCCGAAACCGCTGGATGGATTTTGACGGGATTATCACTTGCAGATAGCTGATGTCACAAGTAGTAACTTAAACTATTATTATTTTAGAAAAAGAATTAGGATATTTTTGAAAAAAGTAAAACCCCAATAACACGCAGGCAAAATCGCGAGAAACAGCTAGTCTATGTAATATAATAACATTATATTATATATTTTAATCGTAATCATAACATAATTATCAAGTTCGGCCTCACACGGAATACTGTTCTCATCTCTTGGCCGGTGCACCCCAGTGCCAGCTCCTTCCACTTGACCGCATCCAGCGCAGAGCGGTTCGAATCGTCGACGACCGAGTTCTTTCTGATCGGCTCGATACACTGGCACTGTGTAGAGATGTTGCATCTCTTTGCGTATTTTATCGCATCTATCATGGGAATGCTCTGAGGAATTGTTCGGACTAATTCCAGCCACTCAATTTAACCATCGCACATCGCGACAAAACTCGCGATACCATCCATACCATCTGGATGATTGGCGGTCCATCACTGTGCGATTTAGAAGAAATTTTCTCCCTCGCACAACTTCCTTGTGGAATCGATTACCACCAGGGATTTTTCCGGACCGATACGACTTAGGGACCTTCAAGAAAAGAGCCTACTCCTTTTTAAAAGGCCGGCAACACATCTGCAATTCCTCTGGTGTTGCAGTTGTTCATGGGCGGCGGTAGTCACTTACCATCAGGTGAGCCACATGCTCGTTTGTCCCCTCTTCTATATAAAAAAATACATAAATAAATAAAACACAGTTTAAAAATACGCCGTGTAGTGGCGGTCAAGAATACCACTACCCCATATCCTCCCGTGGGTGTCGTAAAAGGCGACAAAGGGAAACAGGCAGGAGATGGGCAGCAGCATCTTCCTGATAATAGCCAAAATTACAATAAAAAAACTGCGGTTGCCAACCCGCTCGCCAAGCGTGGCAACTATGGCAAATACCCCCCTATGAATGTAACAAAAAGACGGCCCCCAGTCCCCGGCGGCCCCGCTATTCCTGGCTACGGTGGCGACCATGGTAACGGCGGGGCAGGGGGTGCTAAGAATCTCCGGTGGAGGTTCGGTTGCCACCTTAGACGACTCGACCTGGCAACGTACAACGCACGCACCCTGAGGACTGACGAGAAGATCGTGGAGCTGGAAGAAGAGATAGACAAGTTGCGCTGGCATATTATAGGATTATCCGAAGTCCGAAGAGAGGGGGAGGACACGGTAATCCTCGAATCCGGCAACTTGCTCTATCACCGGGAGGGCGACCATCTGTCCCAAGGAGGTGTCGGATTTATCGTCCACAAGTCTCTCGTTAACAACGTTGTAAAGATCGGGAGTGTGTCGACGAGGGTTGCGTACCTTATACTCAGAATCACCAAACGGTATTCGCTGAAGGTCATACAGGTTTACGCACCAACCTCGGCACACCCCGATGAGGAGGTGGAGGAAATGTATGAGGATATCTCTAGAGCCATGCATTCCTCCAAAACCCAATATACGGTGTTAATGGGAGACTTCAATGCAAAACTAGGCACAAGAGAGAACGGTGAGCTGAAAGTAGGGAAATTTGGAATAGGGCAACGGAACCCAAGGGGCCAGCAGCTGGCCGACTTCATGGAGAAAGAGGGACTCTTTATGATGAACTCTTTCTTCCAGAAGCGGCCCCACAGGAAGTGGACCTGGTCGAGCCCCGACGGTTCGACAAAAAATGAGATTGACTTCATTATGACGACCAGACGACAACTGTTCAGTGATGTCTCCGTGATCGCGAGGGTGAAAACTGGTAGCGATCACCGAATGGTTAGAGGCACACTGAACCTAAACGTTAAGTTGGAGAGGTCTCGTCTAATGAAGTCAACGCTCCGTCCCCCTCGTGCTCTGTTCCAAAGTCCCGAAACCTTTCAGCTCGAGTTACAAAACCGTTTTCAGTGCCTAGAAGACTGCAATGAAGTGGACGATATGAATGACAAGCTCG